GCACTGCACCGTTCCACCTAAAGCTTAAGTGAGCCCAAGATAAATTGAGCAGTTACTGACAATATCATGAATTGGTGATAACACACTCAACCTGGCTTTGTTATGTTAATTTGCATCTGTAGTTGGATAGGAAACCTTTGTCTCCATTCAGACCTTGTGGGCTTTAAAGGATTTTATCAAAGCTGACATCACCTAAGAGAAAAGGATTTTAACAGGTATGGAACACAGATATGCCTGGGTAGTACTGGTTATGCCGCTTTCCCTAACTTGTGCCCTCTAGATGTGACTACGTCTCCCATCATGCCTGACCATCTGCTGGGCCTGATGGATTTTGTAGTCCAAGACATTTAGAAGACCCCAAGCTGGAGGAGGCTAAGATAATGGATGAAGGCAAATGAATTTGCTTTCTGCAAAGAGGAATATTGCGACATCTGTGACAAAGAGAGTGGAACAATAGGATTCATATCAAATGACAAAGACAGATGAGGGCTTAACAAACGAAACTGTTGGCAAATGGTTTACACAATTTTGTTTAATTGTTTACACCTTCTTGATCCAATCTGGTTGAGTTATGGAAAGCACCTTTGAGGATTAGGGCTGGATTGCAGGTCCCCTGTTGGCCTGCAATCCCTGCCCTTTGCATAGGACTTCAAACCACTCCGTACACTTTGGACCCACTATTTAAGATTTGTTTCCACCCTGGTGTAATGTCATGACATTTCGGTCTGCATCTTTTTTCTTTCCTTTCTATTAGAGAAAGGAGATGCAGAAGCTTCCTTTGCTTGGCACACCACGCACAATGCACTTCCAGACTGAGATCTGGTGTGCTACACACAACACATCCCCCAGTGTCATGCGGAACACAGTTTCGGTGAGCTGTGCCAAACAGAGCAGATGCGAAGAGGGTTTCCAACTCCCCCAAAGAGCCCTTGTGCCTTTAACAGCTTAATCTATAGACATCTTCAGGTAAAGCTTTTTGCTGCATTATCACTATGTTCTAGGGAGGTAAAGGACCCCTGGACAGTCCAGTCAAAGGTGGCTATGGGGTGTGGCACTCATCTCACTTTTTGGGCCGAGGGAGCCGGTGTTTGTCCACAGACAGCTTTCCAGGTCATGTGGCCAGCATGACTAAACCGCTTCTGGTGCAACGGGACACTGTGATGGAAGCCAGAGCGCACTGAAATGCCATTTACCTTCCGGCCACCTATTTATCTACTTGCACTGGTGTGCTTTCAAACAGCTAGGTTGGTCTTTTATCTGGTCTATGGCATCCCAAATTAAAATACTTCAGGCACATGGACTAGGGGAAAACCCTGCCTGAGGCCACAGTCAAGATAGACAGCACTGGTCTAGCTTCTGTTGCTTCCCTCTCCCAGAATTACTCTGTGTAATTGAAGATTTAGTTTTGCACAAGGTTAAACCACAGAGCCTAGGACTTGCTGATCAGAAGGTCAGCGGTTTGAATCCCCGCAACAGGATGAGCTCCCGTTGTTCGGTTCCTGCTCCTGCCAACCTAGCAGTTCGAAAGCACGTCAAAGTGCAAGTAGATAAATAGGTACCACTCCGACGGGAAGGTAAACAGCGTTTCCGTGTGCTACTCTGGTTCGCCAGAAGCGGCTTAGTCATGCTGGCCACATGACCCGGAAGCTGTACGCCGGTTCCCTCGGCCAATAAAGCGAGATGAGCACTGCAACCCCAGAGTCAACCATGACTGGACCTAATGGTCAGAGGTCCCTTTACCTTTACCTTACAGGTAAAACCTAATTAATCTGCACGAAGCTTCCTTCTGCAATACTGAAGCAAACTGAGATTAGGTTTTAATTCCAAACCCTTGGGAACAATATTTTTCTTAACATCCAGCATGCAGAAGAGTTCCGCTTAATGGGAAAGCACGCTACACTATGCATTTTGGTTGACCCTAATTTCTGTGCGTTGCTTTTTTTTTAATTATCCCAAGAACAAAAATATACTTACTTATTGCTACCAATGGGTGGCAGCAACGGGTTCTGTTGCACCAAGACGTGTAGTTCATGCAGTTGGGAACAAGATCCTTAGGGGGAAAGGGATTAAAATTTAAGATATTTAGATGGGGAGATTAATCAATGGAGAGCAAAAGCTTTGAAAGATAAGAAAGGCTTGCAGAAAAAGAGAAATAAGAAAGGGGGGGGGAGTCAGTTGGCTTATAGTTAAGGTGATCTAATTTAACATTTCCCCATCTTCCAAAGTCCTGACATTTTTGTATTGTACCTTTGCATGAAACTATTTAGTACATATGTTTAGATAATGATGAGTATGATTATTATGGATCCAGACAATCATACCATTGAAATCTTCTCCATATTAAGAGTTGGGGTTAAAGATCTGCCTGTTTTAATAGGCAGCGAATATCCAAATGCTGAGAATGTTGAGCAGAAATCACAAGGAGACATTGTTAACCCCGCTTGCAACTTGTGAATACACAGAATCATGATAAACATACATGATCAGTGGTACTGAATGCTCATTAAATGCATAAGGGATGGGTCAAACTTCATACGTTTCGGGATGTTGGAGAAAACCAAAATAGAGTGGACATTCAGCGAGGGTAGGACTGTGGCGCAAAGATACATCATCTTTTCTGCATGCAAAAGGCCCCAGGTTCGGACCTCAGCATCTCCTGGTAAGGCTGAGAGAGACTCCCTTTCGAAATCCTGGACAGCCACTGCCAGGTAGTGTGGACAATATTGAGTTAGATGGAACGACTTTTAAAAGAAAGGCCACTTCCCATTCGCCCACTTGAAGGTGTACCTAGGGGTTGGTTAGGTTGGCCTACATCAAGGGTGCAGACCTAAGCGGTGCAAAAATTGCGCCCCTTCACTGCAGCTCGGAAGACTAGAGGCCGGTCCGCTCGTCCACGCGCTCCCGGGCTACTCCCTGCTGTTTTAGGTAGCCGGACGAGGCGCGCAGGCTCCTTTGGGCGCTTTGGTGGAGGAGCGCAAGGGACGCGGAGGGGGCACAAGGGCGCAAGGGAGCCTGGATACGCCTCTGCCCACTCGCCCTCCATCAGGGTGTGCACGTGTACGTGTGAACTACCCTAGCCTTGGGCGCTGGAGAGGGAAAAACTTTCAGTTTCCCCTTTACCTTCCTTTGCCTGCCCCTCCCCTGCAAGGTTGTGTTTGGCCTTTTTCGCTCGCTCGTAGCCGGCCAGGAGGGAGGGGGCGGGCGGTGTGAGGTACTCCCCGGCGAATACGAGCCGAAGAAGGGCTGGCGATCGCAGCATGCGTCGGAGGCGCCTCCATTTCCAGTCCTCGACGCCCCCCACCCCCTTGCGGGCACGGGCGGGAGGGAGGGAGGGTCGTGGTGGAAGGGGAGAGGGAGGGGAAGAGAAGAGAAGCAGTCAGGCAGCAGGGGGTGGGGAGGAGGACGCGGGAGGCGATCCTCCTCGGAGGCCGCCGCCGCTGCTGCGCGCGTCTTCCTGGAAGAGGCGCCCTGTCCCGGTGGTGGCACGCGCGCGCCCAGACGGCGAAGGTGGCGCCCGCGATAAGGCGGCCCCTATCGGGACCTCGCAGGCAGCAACAGCCGCCGACGGCGAGGAGGAGCTGCCGGGGAGACGAGCAGCGGGCACATCCCCAACGCCGAGAAGGGAGGGAAGGAGAGCGGGCGGCGTCAAGGCACCGCGCTGGACGCGCACCGGAGGCTCGACAGCTCGGCTGCCCGGGCGGACGGACGGACGCCGCGGCAGAAGCCCACCCGCCGCCCAGGTGCGATCCCCGGAGGAGATGTAGCAAAGGTCTGTGGCGGGCGGGGGGGGCGGTCAAGGGGGGCGTCAATGCACAGACGTCGAGGGTGCTGGTGTTTGGAGACTGGCGTCTCACCTAGAGGAGACCCGGCTGGGCACCTTTATGGAGAAAGGTGCCATAGTAGAGTCTGGAGAGCTAGAGGTCTGCGTTGGAGAGCGTTTGCTGGAGGTCCGCAGGCAGCCGGTAAAGGGTTTTTCCGTGGGATGTTTCCAGGGCATGCTATGAGGGCTCTTTTCGGCCGGACGAGAAGCTCCATATAACTCGCGATTGGTCCGGCAAACGCCTCTCTTCTGCCTTAGGACTAAAGGGTTCGCCCTGCTGAACACCTGGGACTTACTTGCTTCCCAGGAACCACGCAAATAATTTCGCCACACATCTCCCCCATTTCTCCCCATTATTTAGCTCTAGGTGTCCTGACTTCCTGGGTGTGCTGAGGCACCTAGAAGGAATGTACCCGTTCATGGGAATCGTAACAAATATTATTATGCTAGAAGTACCCAGGGCACTTTATAATCTTCATCCTGTTTGCTCTCAGGTCGGTAATTACCGCGTTCCCATTTTAAGGATGGGGAACAGTAGCTAAGTGAGTTGCTCAAGGGCATAATGAATCTGTGGCACTTCAAATCATCGAATCTAGGTGTTAGTCCAACATGAGTCGACCAACAGCGTATGCCTGGTGATCTCTAGAAAGCAGAAGTAGAATGAATGGGTGGAAATGTCAAGGGCGCATATTTTGACTAAGCATCGCTGGGATCCTCCTATTGGGACAGAGGTAGCTGGTGCCCATTGGGACTGGAAGACAGGGAGCCCGAACAGTGGGTGGGACCAGAGCCAATGCTAGACAGAGCCAAGAATCCTAGCTTTGCCCCCCCCCATCCTCCTCCCTGCTGAAGAGTGGTAACACTGAGATGGAGGGGAAGGAAGGAGAGGTTGGCAGGCAGCAAGACCTCCCTGGACTGGTTGTAGGTAAAAGGACAGGCATGTAGGTTGGGGCAAACTGGGGCTTGGGTGGCAGCATCTCAATCGCCCTGATGGACCACTGGCAAGAGCTGTGTCAGAACAATAGGAAACTAAGAGGCTGCCTTATACTGAGTCAGACCGTTGGCCAGTCTAGTTCAGTATTGTCTACACTGACTGGCAGAGGCTCTCTCAGCCCTACCTGGGGATTCTAGCACTGTGGGGGGTTGGACTAAATGACCCTCCTGGTCCCTTTCGACTCTGTGATTCTATGCTGGGATTGAACCTGTGGCCTTCTGGGTGCAAGGCAGATGCCTTGCCACTGAGCTACACAACAGGAGGGTGTGGACTCTCCCTCATTGGAGGTGTTTAAAAAGAGTCCAGGGTACTGCAGATTCCTGCATTAACCAGGGGATTGCGCAAGATGCCCTTCAGAGATGCTGCCAACCAGCTATTACATTAGTGTTGCCATATGTCTGGATTTTCCCAGACTCAACAACTTTGGGCAAAACTTTAAAAAACTCAACTTTTGTACCTGGATTTTCACTTTCTGAAATATGGCAACCCTATATTATGTGCCTATGAATTTACGATTACTTTCATAGCCTGCCTTTCCTGCAAGGAGCTCAAACTGGTGTCCCACTGCCGTGTTTTATCCTCACGACAACCCCGTGTAGTAGGCTAGACTGAGAAAAACGTGATTTGTCTGTGACTTTATGGATGCATGGGGATTGTCCGTTGTAGCACTAAGGTGAACACACCAGCAGTGCAAGGATTTCTGCTTGTGCAATGGGACGTCCTCCCCATCTCCTCCCCCTGCACCGAGGGCTTCTCCAACCCCCTGGAGCAGATTTAGGGTGGGTGTGATGCATGCACAAGGTGGGTTCTGGCAGGAGGAACATCTCATTGCAAATGCAGAAACTCTTGCATTGACAGGACTCAGTAGATAACCACCTTGGGTATCCCAGGCCCTAAGTCCAGCATTCTGGACTACTACACAACACAGGTTCTACTATGATCATAACCTGTCTTAGCTTCCTCCTAGAAAATAGAGCCCTCCAGCATAATCTAACATCCATTGTCTTTGAAGGAATGCGTGGGATAGACTGAAAACAGAGGTTGCTTCCACATGACCTGTTCATTGAACATTCATCCTGATTTGTTTGCAGGGAGATTAGACCATGTTAGCTATTTAATGAGCGTTCATTGTGTTTCGTTCGTGTTTGATAATGACATTGTGTCAAGGCAAGTGTTACTTCACACTTTCACGTACAGCTTCCCATCACTTTCCTTATGGCAAAAAGCCTGATCTTTTGGGGACGTGGGTTTGTTGCACAAGACCAACCCGTCAAGCATAATTGCACAAACTGAGTTTGCTGGCAAGTGATTGAAATTCACCCGAAAACACTGACAGTCTGCAAGCGCCCAGAGAGACAGATCCACTTAAATGAGGGGTAGAAGAAGCAAGTACCTACAGTAGCAGATGTGCTGGCTTAACTGTATAATACTTGTATAGCAGAAGTTCTCAAACTGTGGGGAATGTCCACAGTGGGGAGTGTGGGGTCAGGCACAAGAATCCGGAAGAGGAGATGCAAACTTTCAGTGTGGGGACAAGAGATCCTGCAGCAGCAGCAGGGAGAGGCAGATAGCAACTTAGGAACATTTGTTGGCATCAGTCTGTCTCAAGAGACAAGGGACTGGGCCTCCGGGGGTGAAGCCAAACCACTGTGTTTGGAGCACTGTGTTTAGTGACCTTTCCAGAATGCAAGCCTCGGCAGTGTGCATGGAGGAGATCCCAGGTTGCACAGATGACAAGACCCGCTTTCTTGGCTTCACTGATGTGGTCCAAAGGACCACTATGTTTGGCACCAGCTTGGCTACAGGAGTTGCTGAAAGGAGCCATACAAAGCACTGTCCAACCATCTTAGGGACTCCAGATTTGTGGAGGGGTTTCTCCTTAGCCTTTTCTTCTCCGAAAGATATCCTGCAAGGCAACGGAGATTTAGGACTGGAGTTTTCCTTCTCCTAGGTGGGCTATCTTCCCAGGTTGATGAGCCCCACCTGCTCCTCACTTCCCTCTACAACACGTGCAGAAACTGCCTTCTTTTGACTGGACTCACTATTGGTCTCATCAAGAGACAATGGAGTGCGCCTCTGGGGTGAAGTCAAACCGCTGAAGAATCACAGTGCCTGCTGGGGCTGCAGAGACCGTTAACTTGTAACTGGTGACCTTTCCAGGGCACAAGCCCGGGCAGTGTGTATGGAGGTCCTGGACTGCCCAGACTTGTGCCCCTCTCTTGGTCTCAGCTGCTGTCTATGTGCCATGTGGTTTCTGGAATTCCAAAGGGTGGGAAGGGAAAGCACACAGATAAAAGTCCCTTGATGAAACTGATGAGTCAGAGAGGTTCTTAACTTACAGCTGTTTGACAGAATTTTGTGGAAGAAGTGACAATGGGCCAAAACCAGCCGTGTGGGAAAATACTTTCTTTTCCATTTTAATCTACAAACTGGAGCAAAGCTGCTAAATTCTGGCTCAGGAAGGATGCCACACAATGGGGGAAAGCGCCAATATCAGATGGGGTGGGGGAGAGACTCATTGGACACCATTGCTTGGTGAGAGAATGAGAGGAGCCGTTTTATTGCATAGGTACCAAAAATGCTAGAGAGCTATCTGTTATCTTTCATGCAGGCATAAAATTGGAAGCATAAAGAGTCCTGAATGTTGGAAAGCTTCCCACCACTCTGAGAAATGGTGTCTCGTACGGTATGTGCATGCAAATGAAGACTTCTGGGTCCAACATTTTTCAAAGATAATTCTCTGAGGCACTTAGATGTCGAACGATACGTCCTCAACTCTGCTCCCAGAGGATGCTGGAGGGCGGAGTGTTGTGCGTTCAAGGGTCCTTGAAGAACAATGATCTTCAAACTGCCTTGGGCTATGAAATCTTCATTTCTGCGCACCTTTTGAGACTCTACCCCACACAACCCCCTGCTCAGGATGTCACAGGGCCAGATGCAAAAGGATGTTGGGATGTCAACAGAGCCAAATGCTCCCTGGGGGACAGGGAAGCCAACTGCCTACTGCACCCAATGAACAACACCAATAGGATGACTGCCATTCAAATATAAACATACCGGTACATTGGATCGAGTAAAGATCAGAGATTCTAACCGCCCAGTTTAGGTAAAAGAATCCCATTTTGTTGCTTTCGTTAAACAGTCCATAGAAACTCCTGCCAATCTGTTGCAAGTAATCCAGCAACCTACCTGTTCCTGTCAGGGCTGGCCCATGGCAGAGCTGCAAATAATACCCAAGGCCGGTCAAGTTATTTTGGTACCTGAGGCAATAGATCCCACAAGCACCTCTTCCATTCCCTGGGAATAGAAATGCAACAATAATAAATCGGATAACAATTTGCTGCCCTTCCACGACATCCAAAACCAACTGCTTGAAGTGGCACCTCTCAGCTGGGCGCTGCCTTCTTTTCCTAGCTTGCCTCCTGACTTTTGATGCTACAGTCAAACCTCGGCTCCCAAACGCCTCCGTTTTGGAACGTTTCAGCTCCTGAACGCCGAAAACCCGGAAGTAAATTCTCCGGTTTTTGAACACTTTTTGGAAGCCAAATGTCCGTCGTGGCTTCTGCCTGTGTGCAGGAAGCTCCTGCAACCAGTCACAAGCCACACCTCACTTGTCGAACCTTTCGGAAGCCAAACGAGCTTCCGGGACAAATTACACTTGACAATCGAGGTTTGACTGTATTTCTGAATGTGTCTGAGCTGGGGCAACTGGGGAGAGGCAGGCAGGCAGGCTAGTAGGAGAGGAGAGCAAGTGGCAATAGGAGATGGGAGGGGAGGGGGAAGAAACTTATTGCACATGGGCGGAGAACGAGAGGTGAACAGGCGGTGGGGGCGAGAGGAGTCCTGTGTCCAGTTGTGCATGGCAGAGGAAGGTGTGCTTCATAGAAGTTATGGGATGGGGGGAAGAAGTGTGGGCGGGCTAGTGGGCCTCACAATATTTTGTTCAAGTTGGCACCTATGACTGCCTAATGATAGGGCCGGTCCTGATCTTCTCATCCTGAAATTGCATTGTGGAGATAACAGTTATATCTCCCTTAGTTACGTTTTGTTTTTGTTATACTTACTTTCTAGGACTATGTAATGATTGTGCATTATTTGCTTTTAGTGCTGTTTGTGGTTTTTGGGTCGCAGCCCAGCTACGTTTTACTGGAGTTGTGTTGTTTCAAAGTCTCTCTATAAATAGCGCTTTTGATAACCCTGCCCTATATAAAACCTGAATTGACCATACTGTATATAAAGCCCTGCATTATGTGAAAAGTGAAGTACGGACATACATGCCGCCTTTCCATAGTTAAAAGCATGCACATGGTTGTTTGCAGCATGAAAAAAATTACATAATTACAAAGGTAACAAAAGTAGTTCTAAATACATTAAATAAAACATCAAAAAGTGTGCAACCAAATTGCAACAGTTTCTATATAAACCATAGTAAGATCTAAAATATACACAAAATTAATATAAATAACAGCAACAACTCACACCCCAATCCCCCTAAACAATACCCCAGCCTCAGTGTCTGTTCTGCAGCCTCAGCTTTTGTAGCTGGAGTCAGTCCAGGCCCCATCCTCCCAGGCAAGGTGGGAAATGGCCTGCAAGGCAGGGAGCAAGTCTTCCAGGACTCAGCCATGTGAACAAACTCTGTGTTGACCACTGCAAGATCACCAGGTCTTGAACGCTTTCCTTTATCTCTACAGAGGATGTCCTCCTTGTCCCAAACCTCTTTGATGCTTGGGCTTCTCAGATTATGACTTATTCTTTCTATATACAGTACTTGTATCTTTCAGGAGCTCAGGGCTGCAAATCTGTAGGCTATCCCAATTCACCCTACCCCGGCAATGTCCAGAAAATTCCATACGTATGGCAACTCAAACTAGTAGTACACACACACCAACTTGCCTTGGAGTAAAGGTAAAGGTAAAGGGACCCCTGACCATTAGGTCCAGTCGTGACCGACTCTGGGGTTGTGGTGCTCATCTGGCTTTATTGGCCGAGGGAGCCGGCGTACAGCTTCCGGGTCATGTGCCTTGGAGTAAATCCCATCAAAAGTAAAGGTACTTCTGAGTAGACATGTATAAGCTTGTGGTATAAAACTGACACAGTTAATTGAATATGATATTGTTAATTGGGTGACAGGCCTAGTTATCATGTATAGCTTCGCTCTGTGACAAAGCAGAAATGTGTTGCAGTGAAAAAATTCTACTCGTATTCCTCACTCTACAGATGAAAATTCTGTTGTCAACCTGCCTCACTTTCACTCCACATGTGAATATCCTGAAGATTAAATATTTTTGATGTTTCCAGTTTGAATACATTTTCAGGTTTTCTCTCTCAAGAATCTGGCTTTTAGTTAGCATGGATGAATCTGTCAATTTAACTTTCTCTGAAATTTCTAATTGTTCCAATCTCATGTTCTGTTCACCAGATTTTCACATCAGTTTGCATATTTTTTTGTAATTAAAAAATGTCCTCCTGAAAACAACAGCATTTCTCCTAATACAGTTGTACCTTGGATCTCGAACGCCTTGGCTTCCAAACAAATAAGCTGCCGAACCCAGAAGTGAGTCTTCCAGTTTCTGAACTATTTTTGGAAGCCGAACGTCCAACGGGGATTCTGCAGCTTCCAATTGGCTGCAGGAACTTCCTACAGCCAATCAGAAGCCTCCTATAGCCAATCAGAAGTCGTGCTTTGGTTTTCGAATGTTTTGGAAGTCGAATGGACTTCCGGAACGGATTCCATTCGACTTCCAAGGTATGACTATAACACATTTCTTTCTGCAATTTTGTTCAGTATAGACATTTTTGCAAGCAATTCCCCCCAACATTTCTTATGCTGTTTTCACGAACATAATGCATTTTTATGCACGTGCCCTAACATATGCCTTTTCGTAAACATTTTTTGGCTGGAGAACTACTTTGAAAATGCCAGAGAAGCGCTAATTTTGAAGGAAAGCAACATTTCAACCAGCGTAGTCTTTTGGAAAGTACAAATCAGATAGGCTTGCAAAAAAAAATGTGGACCCAACCATATATTTCCACTGTCCCTAGTTTTCACTGAGGCCTTGTGTAACTTCTTTCATTTCAGTGATGAAACTAAGATTTGGGGTGGGGTGGGAAGTCTCATTTTTGAAGGTGACTTGGCAAGTTTATCTGCTATTTCTTAAACACACCAAATCATATCAGAAGCAAACCTTTGTGCCATTTCCAGCTCTGTCTTAGAGCAGGGGTGGGGAAACTTTTTGGCCCAGTGGGCCAGATCTTTATCTCCCCTATCCCAACCCCATAGGACAGCTTCGGCAGGCAGGTGGGGACTACCACCTGTCTGTCATCTGATGCCACGATGATGTCAGGTGCCTTTCTTTACTTTATGTTAATCAAAAACTTATCTCTCTATTTACAACACTATTTTAGTACAGTGGTACCTCGGGTTACATATGCTTCAGGTTACATACGCTTCAGGTTACACACTCTGCTAACCCAGAAATAGTGCTTCAGGTTAAGAACTTTGCTTCAGGATGAGAACAGAAATCGTGCTTCAGTGGCACGGCAGCAACAGGAGGCCCCATTAGCTAAAGTGGTGCTTCAGGTTAAGAACAGTTTCAGGTTAAGAACGGACCTCCGGAACGAATTAAGTACTTAACCTGAGGTACCACTGTACATTAAAACACATATATTTGAACACATGGCTTATAAGGACCACCTCCATTGATTTATATGTTTAAATCAGGACTAATGGAATATTCTTATTGTTACTGTAATTGCTGGGAGTGGTGTTTTTGGTGTTTTTTTTTTAAAGAAACATTGATATTATCTATTTATTGTTTCTTTTTTGCAATAATTTTTTAAAAGGCGTTATTTTAGTACAAAAGACTGTTGAGCACTTCTTCTTTTTGAAACAATTTTTATTTGATTTTACAAGTGAAGAATTATAACAATACAAAATACATATCCATATTTACAGATTTCCCTCCCCTCCATGTGGTCCTATTGTCAACTTTTTCAACTGTATATTATTTCAGAATCCATATCTTGTATCTCACCATATTGTCCATGATACTTGCTACATTACAAGTGTTATTAGAATCCTGCTAATGTTTTTATCCGCTTACAGTGGTCTCCTCGATAAATTATAAATTTTGCCCATTCTTTATTGAGCTCTGAGTACAGTGGTGCCTCGGGTTAAGAACTTCATTCGTTCCGGAGGTCCATTCTTAATCTGAAACTGTTCTTAACCTGAAGCACCACTTTAGCTAATGGGGCTTCCCGCTGCCGTCGCACCACCAGAGCACGATTTCTGTTCTCATCCTGAAGCAAAGTTCTTAACCCGAGGTACTATTTCTGGGTTAGCGGAGTCTGTAACCTGAAGCATATGTAACCCGAGGTACCACTGTACTTCTGAATGCCCTTTCCTCCCAATTTATTTGTCTGCCTTGCTTCTTGATCTGGATGTTCAACGAGGAATGATAGGTGCTGAGAAGCCATAAACTGAAGCAATGTTTTGGGTGTCCCATGCCATCTGTGCCTTATACTGAGTCAAACACTTGGCACATCCCACTCATCATTATCCATTCTGAGTAGCAGCAGTTCTCCAGGGTTTCAGACTGAGGATATTCCCAACCCAACCTGGAGATGCTGGGGATTGAACCTGGGACCTTCTGCATGCAAAGCAGCTGCTCTACCACTGAGCCACGCCCTTTCCCAGATCTACTACCTTCTTGAGTTGGAATTCCATCCATCACTTGTAGTGGCCAAGGAAGTGCTTGGCTTGCCCAAAGCTTTCCTCTGCAGCAGCTCCATTCCTTCAAGTCAAGTGAGGACATGACAACAATGTTTGGAACTGCAGAAGAGATCAAACTGTGCTAAATGTCAGAAAGAGTGTCTTTAGTGGAACAAGCTGCTTGGGAGGTTGTGCAACAATGTGCACCCGAGGAAGCTTCCCAGAAAGGATTGGCGAGGCGTCTCTGGTGGAAACGGAGACCAACTGCTGGCCTGTAGGCTACATCCAATCCACGAGCCCATTTTATCTGGCACAATGCAATCAAAGCCTTGATAAAAATTCTGTCCACAATTATTATGCGCAAGGAAAAGAATGCTGTTTTCAAAAGGTTGGGATAGACAGATGCCCCATATTTTCGTGCCACATTTTTCCCTTGGGTACATTTGCAATGCTGGTTGCTTTTCCATGTATAATTCAGAAAGGCAGAAGAATACTTAGCATTTGACCTTTGAGGCATTCTTTCCTCAGTCTTACCCATACGAATGATCTCATGTTTCCTGTGCAGTCTTTGGTCAGATCCACCCCATACATTTCTAGCACTCTTATTCCACTTTAATAGTCATGGTTTCCCCCAAAGAATCCTGGGAGATGTAATTCATTAAACGTGCTGGCCTCACAAAGTTACAATTCCCAGCACCTTTAACAAATTACAGTTCCCACTATTCTTTTCAGTTCTCGCACTAGATGCCACAAACTTTATTCTAGAGCTTGAACTCTGTGAATGGGTTGTGGGGTGTTGCAAAAATACATAAATGAGGACTGAACCGCTGTCTGGAGAACAGAGTGCACCCCCTTAAGATTGGATTGAATTATTATTATTATGGCAGGTTTTGAATAAATGTACACAAACTTTTTATTGATAACATATATATAGATGACTTAAGGATCTTTACAATTTTATAACATGCAGAGAATAACATGTGCTAAGAAACTAGAGAGAGGAGCTGAGGGAAGTCTGGGGGTGGGAGGGAGGGTTTTTTTTTCTTTTTGGGGAGGGAAAAAATGGAGGGGGAATGAGGATGATGTATTTTTGATTGATTGTTATTTTGAAACTCTTAATAATAATAAAAAAAGAATTATTATTCCTCCTATTTGTGATGTTCAGGTTGTGAGTGCCATTTATTATGTATCCAAAATGGCGGCATCCAGCCAGGCTCTGAGCATCCTGATAACCTCAGGCTGCAGTGTAGCAGGAAATGGAGAAGAGTTTCCCACCAGCCTTAAAACAACCAGGTCCCCAAGGGAATCCTTGCTGGGTGATGGGCCTGAGATGAGACAGGGATTACAAAGGCAGACCATTTTAAAGAGGAATTTGATGGATGGAAGTACTGGGAGTAGACTGAGAGATGTGTTTTTCAGACATAGTAGTCTTTGGTTCTCAACATCCCTTGCCAGTACGCTCCTTGTTTGCATCTTTGGGGAACCATAACGTTGCCAGTCCTTCAAGGACTGGTGTATGGCAAGGAATCTGGAATAGAAATATGACAACTAGAAGGCAATTAATCATATGCTCTTATTGGAGAAATGGGATTGTGGAAGGACTGAAAAGAAGACCTGTGGACAGAATTGTGTAGGCATAGTATTTGTGCTGTATCTGTTTAATGTATTACAAACATGACTTTCACCAAGGGCCAAGAGGAAATGAGCTGGCAGAATGTAATTAATCAAGCTGTAATTTGGCCCGCATTGAACATTGGAATGAAAAGTAGCTGATGGTAACAGCCAAATGTTCCTCAGGGAGCAGCTCTTTTAATAAGCATATTTTAGGGCGTGAAGGATTTAATCTATTTCTGGAGATGGTGAGCACAGCCTATTGGGCATTAATTCTACCATGCCTGGTTGAAATGAACGGGGCGATGGGCAAGAGGAGAATTTGCTGTTCTCCCAGTGAGATTGGATTATGCTTGGAGTCTTCCGTAGCACAAGCAAAGGCAGATCTATTTTTGATGTGCCATTTTCCCCCCAAATCTGTTTCCATTGCCAACTAAGTTCTGCAAAAGCAGAGCTTTCTGTTTTGGAAACTTTCTGTGCAGCTTTAAAGACAGAAGGTCTATAGTCACAATTTCTATGGTAACTCTAGGGAGGAGAGTGAAGAAAATAATTCCGTCTCAGCCACTGAGACCTTGAACTCAGTGATGGTTACAAACACTAGGTTTTGACACTTCTGCTGGAAATATGCTAAAACCGCAAAGATTTCAGAACAGTGTGATGGAGTGCGTGCTGAGTTTTGTCCATCGTTTGGGAATCCTCCTCTCTCAAGACTGACAAATTGTTAAGGGTAATCTTTTGTACAGTGGTACCTCGGGTTAAGTACTTAATTCGGTCCGGAGGTCCGTTCTTAACCTGAAACTGTTCTTAACCTGAAGCACCACTTTAGCTAATGGGGCCTCCTGCTGCCGCCGCGCCGCCGGAGCACAATTTCTGTTCTCATCCTGAAGCAAAGTTCTTAACCCGAGGTCCTATTTCTGGGTTAGCGGGGTCTGTAACCTGAAGCATATGTAACCCGAGGTACCACTGTACTAGAGAAACAAGTGGATAGGGAACTGGGCCTCCCATTTTTTCTCCTTGGAGCTTGCTAAATCCTTTCCATCCTGGGCCCTTAGCTACACAGTCTAACCTACCCCCAGGCAGGTCAGTCATTGCCAGCAACACAAGGACACATGGCCATAGAGGCTGACCAGCTCAATATTGCCATGTACCACCAAATAGTGTGGTTTCAGAACTTTGGAAAAGGAACTATCTCTGGAACAGAAGTGCAATTCTGATGGAAGATGGGAGGAATTGCTCAACGAACAAGAAATCAGCTTATGTTAATTTCTGATCTGATCTGATTGGGTGGAAAGGGTCCCGAGAGAAGAGCTTTTTATTGGCTCCTTGCTAGGGGTGGGCGGGCCAAGGAGCACATACTGGCAGCCAGCTCCCCTTCGTGCTAATAGCCGCTGCATTTAGTGCTAAAGTGAATCTAACTTGTACTACATTTGTATAAATAAGCATAAATATTTATGCAGACTTTTCAGGAAGATAAGTGTGATTGCTAGTTTTCGGTTGGTTGGTTTCTGGCTAAGAGCATCACACGGTCAGGAGAAGATCCAGGGTTTTCTCAGTCATAACGCCATGCGAGCGCTTCTGTCTTCAATTTATTTCACACCAAGGTGGAAATGGCGACAACCAAATTTGTGTCGTTTTTTAAATAGAGATAGTGTTTAAAAATTCCAAAGGCTGTGATATGGTATATATGTTTGCACATTTTTAAAAAAAAAAAAAAAAAAAAATCTAAGCAAGGGTATCTGAAGAGATATTCCATGTGGCTGTGAGTGGAGATTGCGATGGTGGAAGAGCTCTTATCGGATGAGACGCATCTCCACTCTGCTTCACATTTTTCTTGCTGACAACAACAACAACATGATTTGCTGCCTTCCAAGATAGTTAGCATCCTGGCTCAGGATTGCACAACCAGATGTGTTACCACAGAAACAATCTAAACAGTAAAGCTCTTTTTCCAGTTCCAACCCACCCCTCCAATAATGGCGAATCAAAATGTTGCAGCCATATTTCAGCTTTCTGTAAATGTGTGTTTGAGAAAGAGAGTGTAGGAGGACGATACTTTCCTACATCTGTTAACATTTTAAGGTTCTCCATACAGTCCTGGAAATTGAAATATACTGTATTAGGAACGTGATTTATATGCCTCAGAGACAGTTTTATTAAAATCCTGAGTTTTTTAAAACATTTTTTTCCTAAAGAGCTGCTCATTTCTTCAGAACTGATTTATTCTAACTCACTCACAACAGGCTTAGTGGCAATGGCAGATAAAGGCTGTCTCTTTGAAAGCAAACAAAGTAGTTGAGTACTCTCAACTGTGACAGATTCTGATGCTGACAAATGTTAACTTATTAGTAATATAAAGTGAATGTATATTGAATTAAGGGAAGCCTCTCTTTTTTAACCCAGTAGTTCCCATTCTTGGGCATCCTAGTTTGCCAGAGAACTGCTGGTAGACCACACGAGGAATAAATAAATGAAGTTTGCAATCCTAAGTACACACTGGGCTCCTCCACATGATCTGTTTATTGAACATATATCCTAATTTGCTTGCACTAAGCTTATGCAGAGGTCAGTTTCTGGTCTTTATTGAGCATTTCTTCTGATTTGCTTGTGGGGCAGCTATATGACAATGAGAGTCCATCCAGCGTTTATCCTGATTGACTTGTGGGGTGTTTATATGTTTTCTCGTTAACCACCTGTTCATTCCCTACATTGCAGTGCTTTTCCCTGTCACTTTCCTAACCACAAAAAGCACTTCAACCCAGAACTGAAAACCATGGTTTGGAGAGGGTTTCCACTCCACTTTGAAGATCGAGTGCTAACCATTGGCTGCTGTGGTTTGGAGGACCCGCTGCACTGAACCATGGATAACCGAACCCTAGAGAGATAAGCACTATTCTGCTGAGGCATGGGCCAAATTAGATGCTGGATTTTCTATTTTGTCTCCCCGAGCACAGTGCTCTATTTTCTCCCATGTTACTGAATGCCTGCCACTCATGCCTATGGGAATAAGAGACACCGTTTGCCTGGGTGACCAGACCTGCCCTCTGCTCAGTGCTGGCAATAGGTTATGGTGATGCTAGCAGTAGGTTCCCTCTTTGTGTAGCCTTGTCTTCTGCTTGGCATTGTCATATCTGCTCCCAGACTTTTCCTAGAGAAGTTAGACTGGCTCCCTCCTTCTGCTGGCAGGCAAGGACCTTTCATTCCAGTTTAGGAACTGACTGGAAAGGGCTGGCACTGTGATTTCCCCTACCTTCTTGCAGTTACATTACCTGTGTTTTTAGAAATATATTTTTATATTATTTTAATTCTATTAGTGCTTCATTATTTTTTTAAATGACTATCTTTTTGGCTTTTGCTATTTTATCTTT